CGTGTTATTTGACAGGATTATAAAAGTGTCAATGCATTTATCAGGGAAGATATCCCGATCCCCACAGTATGGTTTAATTGTGTGTTGCAGAATTAGACAGATAAGACCATTTTCTAGTCATACTAAAAACTTAGGAATAAATTGTAAAAGGAAGTAGTGTTTAGTGTAAGCTAAAAACAACTCAGTGGTTATCAAGTATTGGATTGTAGGTAATTGATTGATTGGTAACACGACTTCATCATGAGCTGATATCGGTTAGAGAACCATTGGGAAACCTGGGAGTGCTGGATACTTAGCTATCTCATTCTAGTTTGTGACACTTCATGAGTGCTCATCCACCCAGGACATTCTGGTTACAAGGCGAGCTCGTAGACCATTAAGCCACTGGGACCCAATCCAGTCCCCATCCCATGAATTCCAATTACCGTACAAGTAACAGAACATTCCAGATATTCAGAAAGTCAGCGGAGTTACTTACTATGTGTATTGAATAAAAGAAACCTTGATTTGTAGTCGATTGTTCACTTTAGTCAGTTAACATCTGACAAAGAAGGTCAGATGATATTAGCTAGTTTTCAGGGTATTCCAGACTATGAGGCTACACCATTATAAATATCGTTAATTCCCTAGTTATCAGTGATGTGATACCTTCAAGTGATGTTTTATAGTGGAAAATGTGACAAAATCAGGTAAAATCATATTGTATCCAAATGATTTGCTATATTTTCATTAAAAATTCATCATTGAATTGAAGAAAAAGGCAATCAAGCCACTATCTGAAACCTAGTTTATCAATAATTTCATAAGTTGACTTCACTTCGTTGTTCGTATATCTGAACAGTGGTTAATTACCTCATAATATAAATCAATTTAAAATCACAGTGTATCAGTTCTGTTTTCCCTTCAAATATGGCAAGATGTAGAGCTTACACATAAATAATTGCTACAATGACCTTCGCTTCCATCTTAGATATTAATCTAAACAAAAACAGAAATACATGCATTATAAGCATTAAACAGGTCAGTGTTTCTGACATCAAAATTAGCAATCTTCATTTATTTCTAGTGGTGTAATCGAGGAAAGGCTCCCAAGCAGTAAGTCACCATCTGTTATTCTTGGTGATAAAGAACTGCGGAAGCCACAAATTCGAGCAGTTGAGTGCAGAGGCACGTCTAATTATCCACTCATGGCTCAGTAATGACTGGCAGGTTGCCACTAAGTAATCCTATTTCATTGTGTGAGATATCTAATGATCAAATGATTACGTCAAACTTCCAGTTTTCTTATGATATATAATGGTCCAACTACTTATACTGTATTAGGAACGAAATCATCAGATTTTGTTTTGTGAGCTGTATATTGCATTATCCCGACCAGTAGCTGCTACCTTGACGTGGTGGTCGAGCTTGTATATCGCAATGACCCAACGAGCTAAACTCGCTGTAACTTATGTTCCTGTAGATCCTACCATGCCAGAAAGGTTGTTTGGATATCGGTTAGACAAAAAGCAGCTACCCAATCCAATACTTTGACTCAAACAAACTCACAAAATATCATGCCAGATCGGTCGGGGCCCACAATGAGTCAGCATCAATTTATGTGGTTCCAATTAAAAAAACCGACAAAACAAAGGGGGTGGGCGAGACAAAGCATAGAAAATTCTAATAAACATTGTTTGTTTACAAGTTCACACGGAAACTCAAGGTTATACCTCGTAAGATAGTTTTGTCTAATGAGCCTTAACCTTCTTGAGTTGCTGTGTGAACTTATAAGCAAACAGAGTTTATTATATTTTTATCTATCCATTGTCTCATTCAACGCCCCCCCCCTCCATCTCTCGTCTTCTACTTGAAAGTGTATATAAACTGATGCTGATTTGAACTAAAAGTAGTCACAGTGCTTGCCTTCTGGATACGTTAACCATTCAAGCATAGAGGTATGTTATTATCATTTGTATAACCATTGTAATTTCAATTAGTTTATATCTGGTGTGAATCTGTGAAATAGAATGACTTCATTTTATACTGCAGATCTGGTCTTTGTTTATTGAAATACTTTATCACATTATATGGCATAACTCAGACTAGTATTGAGTAATGTGACGTAGACTCTTAAGAAGAGATTTTTATTTCCTCCACATTTATATGTTCTACTGGGTGTCATGAGCAATAGAATATCGACCAAATCAGCTAGCAATATTCTATGGATAGATCAAATTTATCTAAACAGTAGATGGCACATTCATATAGGTTAACAACATGTGACTGCATAGTAATTGTTTGTTTATTCATCCTCCGTAAGACTACGCATACTTGTTTGTTGTAGATGGTAAGGAAAGATATATCACACTACTAAAAATAAACCCAGTGATGCATCTCGAACTCCAGTTTCCTCCTTCAATCTAATTTATAGCGAACAGAAGCAAATTGGATAGTTGGTCACTAAGAATACTTTGAGGACTTTTATTCATAGTGTTTTGAGTAAATCACAAATATTCATCTTCTATGCCGGTCAAATTGTATTCGTTGAGTTTGTTATAAGAATTACAGGTGGTCACACACTAAAAATATAAAAATAAAAATACTGAAGAGATATTTATACGATTAAACATGAATAATTTTATCTTTTTTTTTTTTTTTTTTTTTTGGATTTACAGCTTGATTTCCACACCGTATTTTCAGTACAAGTGTGGAACTTTCAGCATGGATATCGGTTGCCCAAATTCAGGCATACCATAGATATCGGGTGTGCGCCGGCAGGGGCTCGAACCTCGGACAATGTGCATGGTCGGCGAGAGTCCTAACCACTGTGCCACCGACATGCTCAAGATGGATACAACTATTCTGGTCATTTTGGTGCTACTCTTTCAATTAACCTCTGGCTCACCTTCAACCGAAGATGAGATCAACTTGCTAAAATGGCATAACAACTTCAGACAATCTCTGAGCAACTGCAAAATACGTGGACAACCACCTAGTGTAACTCCACTCCCTGCATTGGTAAGCTTTCTATTTCTCATTTCGAGTAAAAGTCTGAGTTGCAGTTGATTTCAATCTGCATTATTATTTATGCCTAATGAGGGTTTATGTAACTATAGTTTCAGATTACATTTCGGATGTGAATTTCTTCTTCTTCTTATCATATGTGACTTGGAGTTGTAAAGTCAAACAATAAATATTTAGAAAAGCTTTATCCTCCTGTAAATTATTGCTTTTATTTCAGAAATGGAACGATGAAATCGCAGGTTATGCCAAGAAACTGGCTAAACGATGCGTATTCGAGCATGATTATAGGAAACTTCCAAAAAAAACTTTCAATTACATTGGACAAAACATTGCGGGAAACCCATCTGTAGCAGGGTAAATAAATTTAATTGACAAGTATTTAATATGCCGAAACCTTTAGAGCTATGACAGCGTGGACAAATGAACACAAGGATTACGATTATTGGAGACAAAGTTGCACACCAGGGAAAGTTTGTGGACATTATACTCAGGTACAATAATCTTAGACTTGATTGCTTGAATTTTAGTGTTCTAACCACTTTATTCATGTATGCATGTCTAATAGGCTGATCTGTTAACACATTAGTTAATTGTAGTTAGAAATGTCTCTGTTACCTAACAGAACACACCAATTTTGGTTAACTTTCTAAAGATGTGCTACATATTATTACATTGGTGAATGATTGTGGTTGGGAAGTAAATTCAATCCAGAAAGAGATTTAAAACGGTCAGGATATTTTAAGCGCGATGCAAATATACGTAAATTATTCACATGTGTGCAAATTATTATCATTATTCCCACTAGTTTCAAGTGGAACATAGGCTCTCCTTTGTCTGACAATCCTTTCTGGTTATCCGATCTTCAGTGAGGAATTAGCGCAGGTATCATTTGATTAAAGTATGCAGCCTGTGTGTATGTTGTAGAACCTATTTACCGCCAGAGAAAATCCAACTTATGCAGAAATTTTATTTCGGTGAAGTAAATATTTACGAAATTGCTACAGTGCCATTCTTACTGTAACCTCAACGTTTATCATTCATGCATGATCAAGTTGGCGAAACTCATTGATCCATTGTGGTTGTTGTAAGGCAAATTCTTCCTGTGAATTTACTAAAGTTATATGTGTTGAGTGATTTGAGCTAGGCATATCTGCTATTTGGGGAGCCCGATCTATCCTTGACATCTTGGTGCTGAAAAGTTTTGAGAATCTTACTGAATCAATTCTGATATTCAACAACTGACATTAATGTCTAATTGTCACTCTATTGAAGAGACTTCACTAGATGTAGCTTATTCACTATATAATGTGCAATGAAGTAAAACGGATGCTGGCTGATTGTTGATGCAGTTTGAATTTTGTGTGTACTGGTTATTTTTGGCATATTTTTACCAAGCAGTGCTGAAATAATAATCAGTCACGACATCAACAAACTCTATTGGTCTTATGCATTAATTTTACAGAAATCACCATTGTTCACAATTACTTTAGTTAGCTGCTTCCTACATTTTATTAGATAATTATGTATTTTGATGTATTCCATTTAAGGAAAAGGTAAAGTAGGGATTCATTTTATAGAAGATGTAACAGTTTATCGTCTGATGAGATACATGTACTCATGCCGATGAAGTAGGAGCAAACGTAATTCATGTATTTATCAAATAGTGGGTATTAATGATATCTATGCCACAACATTCCATATTTTGCATCACATATTGAGTCATCTAATTTTGCGCTAACTTGTTCTAAAAATTACTTCAACTGATAACTGTCCACTTTTGTTTGTCATTTAGATTGTTTGCAACCATACCTCGTATATAGGGTGTGCAGTAAACGACTGCACGGGGAGTAAGACATTCCCATATGGATTATATGTTGTATGCAATTACGCAATAGGGTGAGTTGAAATTGCATATCAGATTTTCTTTTATTGCATATACTGTCTTAATTTTTTCAGCGTGTAACCTCTATTTTTATTCTTTTCTTAACTTAAAGTGGAAACTATGTGGGTCAGAAACCATATGAAGCTAAGCGTGTTACTTGCCAAGGAGATGGAAAGGATCCTAGTGGTATAACCCTTGATCAGTTAAAAGCCAGACCACAAAGTGCTAAACAGCGATCTTCAAAACAACCCAATCAACCAAAAACCAATGCTAAAAGACCTAATGTCAATAACAGACCACAAAGCGACGCCAGGATACCAACAAGTACAAACAAAAGACCTACCAATGTTGTTAGCAGACCTGATAATGGTAAAAAGCAAACAAATTACAACACTGGGTCAATAAATTACAATTCCCAACTAGGTAGTATTGACTGGAACGACGTTTTATCTAAAATGAACATTGATAGTACCAAACTGAGAAACAACAACTACAAAACAGTATATTATAAAACTGGACCATTTGATGCTAAGTGGGAGCAATTTTTTCGCAAACAACAACAAGGTGGAAATAGCAAACCGATAAGTAACAAGAGTAACAAACAAACAAAATATATTACTAATCCTGATGGTTCAACTACCAAAGTACATACCTGGGAATACACCTATCAAGTACCGTCGACATACAGACGTACGAGCAAAGTTTCCAATGGAAAATGAAGATGAAAACACGTTGATGACTGTTAATATATCAGAGTGATTAAACTCCTTTATTCAGTGAATTTTTATCCGTCCAGTTTGATTAAAGAATTAAGTTAAATACAAAATCTTGTTAATTACAAATAAAATTATAATTCAATAATAAAATATTTATAAAATCAATTTTTACCAAAAGTTCAGATGTTTTCTTAATTGTTTCTTGCGTAACATTCATCAGTGGAAGGTGACGGACATCGTGTTCCCTCAGTTCAATCGAAAACTAAACAGCTTTGTAATAACTTTCTGCTATAAGGAGCAACATTTTACCGCTAAGTGAAGCAAGAAACAGTGGTAATGATTTCCACTTTAAGTCATTGCGAAAATCATTGGTAAACACGTTGGTGGCAGAAACCGGTTTTGCACATCGGCCCGAAAACTCAGTCGAATACTCTGGTCTAAGGTGTGCACGGAATCAGAGAATTCATATGGTTACTTATGGTCAAGTTTCTATAGATGTTTCACTCACCACGTCATTTGAACAATAGGTTAATTGTATGGCGGCAAATTCATCTTAGTTTCTTCTCTTATAAAAGTTAACAGTTCAGTGCTTAAAATCCGTTCACCTATCTCATGGAATGTCATTTAATGTCAAGTGGATATTCAAAGTATTTCTAGGCGAATGCGTCGAGTATGATTATTAATCGTTCTAGTGTATGTGATGAAGAAATTTGGCTGCACAAATGTCCATCTTTCCAGCATATTTCTAAAAATAGTAAACTCATCTAGTCTATTTATCAGCTTATAGTCTAATTGGAACTAGATTATAATTACAGAATTATAATATCACACAGCCGGTTCCGTTTATTACTCTAAGTACTGAACATATTTGCAGGATAATATGAGCTCGTTTAATTGCTTGGATTCTCTTCAACTGCCTACATTCTTATTTAACCAATTATAATATATTACAAAATTCCTGAACACACTTTTTATAATGATTTCTAGTTATAGATAGAAAGCATAAGCGATATAATCTCAAAGATGATGTAAGTAGACAATTAATTAGCATTAAAAGAGTAACTCTCTAAATGGTAGTTGTTCAGTGATGATCCGTAATGTGGCGATCTGATCAATGCATGACACGTTTCTCCTGAATCCAGCCTGTTCCGGTCGAAGTTTTTCATCCAGGGCATGTTCGATTCTCTCCAGGATGATGCGGCTTATTATTTTGCTTGGGATGGACGGGAGCATAATTCCGCGTCAGTTCTTGCATTGACTTAGGTCTCCTTTCTTTGGCAGTTTGAATAAGTATCCTTTCTTCCAATTCTCGGGTACTCTGCCCTCTTTCCACGCCTTCTCCAGTAGTGGCGTCATCAAGCCTGTTGTTGTCTCTTGGTCCATTTTCAATGCTTCTGCTGGGATTCCATCTGCTACTGCTGCTTTTCCAGCTTTTAGAATCTTGATTGCCTTCAGGACTTCTGATTTCGTCGGAGGGTTGGTGTTTACTGGTAGCTCTGTCTCCGTTGTTGGTATTGTTGGGCGAGTTGTCGGTGGTGGTCGATTTAGGAGTCTTTTGAAGTGTTCAGCCCAGTGTTTCCTTTGCTCCACTTCTTTGGTGAGTGGCTTTCCATTTTCATCCTTCACCAGCCTAATTTGTGTCAAACGTTTGCCCGATAGGTACCTAGTAGTTTGGTAGAGTGTTGCGAGGTCTCCTTTGCCTGCAGCTTGTTCTGCCTCACTTGCCATGGTTTCATAATACTTTCTTTTGTCTTCTCTGGCACTCTTCTTTACTCTTTTGTTCAGTGTTTTGTAGCTTGCGTTCAAATCCTGTTTTCGGTGCTCATCGGTGCACTGGATAATTTTTTGTTTCACCATCCCTCTCTCTTCTATTAGTTTCCGACTGCCCTTAGTGAGCCACTGTTTGTCCTGTCTCTTCTGTCAGCCTAGAACTTCCATGCAGGTTTGACTCCACACTGTCTTCAAGTTGTCCCAGTGTTTTTCGACGCTGACCTCTTCACCAGTGTTGATTTGTGTCCTGGCTTTGTCTTTTATGCTTGCAGCGAAGATGTCCTTTGTGTCCTGGTCCTTCAGTTTTTGACTGTTGAACTTGGCTTGTGGTCTATCTGCAGCTCCTGTTTCTCTGAAAGCTTTTAATTTGATTTGGATTGTCCCTTGTACGAGATAGTGGTCTGAGCCAACTTCTGCTCCTCTTCTTACTTTCGTGTCCAGTAGGCTGCGCCTCCACTTCCTTGAGATTGAGATGAAGTCAATTTGGTTACTGATTCGCCCATCTGGTGACACCCATGTAGCCTTGTGAATATCCTTGTGTTTGTATACGCTGCCATCAATCACTAGTTCATTGAAGGCGCAGAAGTAGGCGAAGAGTTCTCCGTTTTCATTTATTTCTCCGAGAGCTTCTCTATCCATGGTGAGTTCCCTTCTTGTGTTGTCTGGTCCCAGTTTGGCGTTCATGTCTCCCATTAGTATTTTGATGTCGCCGACTGGAGTATTGTCCATTGTTGCCTGTAGTTGTCTGTGAAATTCTTCTCTCTTTTCGAGGTCTGCGTTGTTTGTTGGAGCATAGCATTGTATAATTGACACTTTCCTTCCTTTGGAGTTGAATCTGGTGGTCATTATCCTGGGCGAGATCGCCTCCCATTGCATCAGGGCCTTCGTTGCCGTTGCTGACATCATGGTAGCCACGCCCTTGGTGTGCATGTAGTTTTCCTCTGGGTGACCGGAGTAGATCACTGACTCACCTGTTAACAATTTGGTGAGTCCATTCCCGTTCCATCTGCTTTCACATATCTTCAGTACTTGAATTCCGTATCTTTTCATTTCGTTTGCGATCTGGGCAGCTTTGCCAATCTCGTACATGGTGCGGACATTCCACGTCTCCACACAGACTTTTTCTTTTGGCACAAGGAGATTCGTCGTGCTGAAGTTTCCGTAGCAGCTTGGTTTACAGGGTGGGGTTGTTAGCCTCACGCATGAGAAGGGGAGAGAGGAAAGGTTGGTGTTGTGTGACCGCAGAGCCCACGGGACAACTGCTTGAGGCCGGTCACACGCGGCCTGTTTTTGGTTGTTCTTTCTTGTTTGGTGTGTCTCAGTAGCATATTTATCACTTCTGCCCTGTGACACAGCAGCAGGAAGCACGGTCGTTGTTAATTCGGGCCCCGACCGATCCGGCATGACATTTTGTGAGTTTGTTTGAGTCATAGTATTGGATTGGGTAGCTGCTTTTTGTCTAACCGCTATCCAAACAACATTTCTGGCATGGTAGGACCTACAGGAACTTAAGTTCCAGCCAGTGTAGCTCGTTGGGTCATTGCGATATGCAAGCGCGACCACCACGTCAAGGTAGCAGCTATCGGTCGGGAACACATGTATTGAGTAGTGCATAATTTTGGAATAATGAAGAGTAATAGAGGAATTGACGTGTGCACAGGTTGATTACGTAACAGATTGTTAAAGAAAAGAAAACGATTTGAACGGTGATAACTTGCAACTAAGGATGATGTGGTCATAAGAATAAAATAATTTTACAAGGATAACATGTAATTAAAGATGAAGTAGTCAGAAAAAATAATAAAATAATTTGGACAATTATAATTTTTATAATTTTCAAAGTTTTAGTGAATAGGGGTGAAGTAGTCCGGTTTATACATTCACGTAACGATGACCAAGGTAAGAAAAGGGGCTGTACAAATTTCTTCTGAACACTCAGCTTTGGCTTCTTCAGATGAATTCCAATTGCTTCAGCTGTAATTAGAAGAACTCGTAAAGCAAAATTAAGATCAGTAAGAGTGTGGTAAATAATTTCGTCTACTCAGACGATCCTATAGAGCAATACCTGGATGAGTTTGGATAAAAGTGGTGAATTACAACATGCTTCATTGTCTAAACAAATCGCCTTCTAATTTTTATGCTGAGGTATGCAATAAACACGAACTGATCAATAGTGAACAAAGACGACCCGTTGAATTGATCCTCTGGAGAACTTAGTACTGGTACAAGGAATAATCGTGGAATTTTCCAATTTTTCCTGTGTTTAAAGGATAGCATTAATTTCGGGATAAAAATAATTTCTCTAAAAGACAAGTATGAAATTGAACAGTGGTCGAAACATATTAACGTGTGTATCAATTCGCATTAGTTTATGATTGTATATCACACAGTAGAAAAGGATTATTCCCAATATCAACTATCCAACAGAATTCATTGCCGGCCATCACATTATTTCATGCTTTTGTCAACCTGAATATTTCACTTTTAGTTGAGTATCATGCTTGGAACCACTGGTGAACATTAAAACATTCATAAATAAATTGCATAAATGGTTTTTGATCCTTCAAATATGACTGACTGTAGGACTCACATGAAAATGACGCCCACGATGTACCACCAATCCATCACCAAAAGTGTTTCTCTAATCTAAATAATAATAAGATCACTGTACGTTTGCATGGGAACGGTATTTCTGATGTTTAATTCAATTATAGATTTTCTCGTCGACTGATTAGACCGAAGTGCTCAGTCTCAGGTTGACATCTCGGCTTTTTGTTCAGACGATTCGACAATGTCTGGGTATTCAACTAGAAGTTAATTGGTGGAAGTTGACTGACAGTTGGGATCCAGAATGTGCATTTCGTCCTATTTAGGACTCGTCATTTTGAAGTACCTGCATTCCACACTGAGTGATGTCCCCACCAAGCCTTAAACCCATTGTCCATAGTTTCAAACCCCAAAGCGTTATCCACTAGACCACTTGGGCCACGAGAGTCGCCTCCTGTGCTATAGGCCTCCATGGGAACATCATCACTCACTGTGGAATGTAAGCAAATCCAAATAGTGAGTCCCAAATACGACCAAATGGGCATAATGGATTCTACCGCTAGTCACCATACACCAATTAACATCTGATATTTCTGTTGGTTTGTCTGCAAAGCAGTTATCATTTGCGCTCACATAATTTTTAAAATCATACATTTCGGTTAATCGGCAGATATTTTACTCATTAT